CCCGGAGCTCGAAAACGTCCAACAACGAAGCAAACACAGGTTGGATCCATTTCTGCAGCCCCAACGCACCGATAGCTCTGGGATGTCTGCGTTGATGGCCAGTCGGCTCTTGCGTGCGCTCAGTGGCTCCTCCAGGTTCGCAGCTTGTGTCGAGGGTATGCTGAGTCTTTGAAGACGGTGCTGAGCTGTATTATTTTGAGCTCTTGAGGGATGTAGGAATCTTTCCAGTGAACTTGGGCTGGCCCGTGAGGTCCAATCTCCCTCTCACTGAATGTGCAGACAAAAGCCGCCTAACATTTGGGAGTAGAGAGCCCGGGTAAATGGAGACACGTGGCATAGTACTACAGATACTGCAGAGTCTCATCTATTGTTTCTGTCTTTCGGTGCCTCAATGTCGAACTTGATTCGCTGATGGTTCCTCGGTGCAGGTCAGGAACCTTTCAAATCATCAGCATTGCAAGGCTGCTGACTGACGCTAGCGTTGCCGAAGCGACTTTAGAACCCGCAAACAACGTGGTTCTCCCTGGGCCGCAGGCTTGAGGCCAAAGATCTTCGCCTCACTCCGCAGCTTCGGATCCTGTCGGAAGCTTTCATGGGTGGCTACAGAGGATTTCGCATTTTAGTTGAGAGTTTCATATGCTGAGTTGATTTCTGCTGCCTGTGCAAAGAGCCGTGCCCCTCGTCTTTCATTCCTGGATTCAGGGACCTGACAAAGCGTCCTTGCCCGACATCGACTTTGTATTGCGGCAGTGTGACGTTTTGGATTTCGATCTCTGTGCATGGCCCCCCTCAGCTTTCTCTGCATCCCGGGTATGTCAGCTACTCATCATCTAAAATACAGAACCCCGACGCCTACGCGACCAAACATCAAGCAACCAACTAGTTTCCGGTCAACTGTAACACGCAAACAACCCAATCTCCAGAATCCCAAAAGTCACCCGAAGCTCTCCTTGATACTATCGGCGTAGAGGAACAAATCACCGCCGCCGCCGTCTTTGTCACCGTCCACCTGGCGAAAGTGTCAAAGGTCTTTTATCTAAGCGGATCTCTGAGGCTTGTGGAGCCAGCGCACGACCTTCCCATCTCTTCGCACGTATTCCTTTTCAAAAACGTTTCAATGCAAGCTGGATTTGAAGATTTTTGAAGCGGTAGATGGTCGTAGGTTCTGAAGACGCTGCTCGGCCTTGACGAAGCCGAAGCCTTCCGAGTTGCGCCTGCCTGGCCTCAGTAGTCAAGCTTGCCTCTAAAGACCGGTGGGCTGAGGCAGCTCATGCGCTGTCATAATCTGCAGGATACCACCTCCCATGCGTCGCGATTGCATCCTTGAGCGCCGCTCGTTAAACCCGGGCCCGCAGTGGAAGTCTCCAGCTCAAAGGCACTAAACATGTTGAGCACCTGGCTTCGGAAAGTTCCAGTTCGAGACGGTCCCCGTCGGCATGGTCTGAACCTCGAACAAAGAATGCGCTCGAAGTGCCATCAGGATAGCCGCTGCAGCAGCAAGCTGGAAAGTTGAAGTGATAGAGGTGGCAATAGTGCAGCAGTGTAAATGTCGTGATGGCTGTGATCGCGGTAGAGGTTGGGGCATTTGTATTTTGGCGTTGCTGGTCGCAGTAACAGAGTTGTAGTGGCAGCGGTGGTCATGAACCAATACAATCCGAAAAAGCACGGAGTAGAAGCAAGCAGTAGCCATCAAAGCCGTCAGGTGGAGGTGGTGGTGATGCTGCTGGTGAGGGCGGGGCTTGAAGCAGTTCTTTTTTTAGAAACAGGCAGATGGAGGGGTAGCAGAGTAACCGTCATCTCCCTCCTCATCGTCATCGTCATGCGGTCAATGTTCATGACTCATCTTGAACGATACTTGATAATTCAATCTTTTTGTTCTGGAGGTGCTCAGTGCAAAACGTCAAATTTCTGCAACCGTGCGCTTCACTGGATCACTTTCGTGTTCAGGCCCCGCACCACCTCTGACCGAGGTCAGCAGACGTGCCGACGCAAAGGTGTCTTAGCTACTATTCTGATTGCATCAACCCTTCTGAATCATGTCTTTGCTTGGTCGCCGTGCGAGGTATGCTGCTCGTCTGCAAACTGTTCATGGTTTGCACTACCGATGGTGCAGTTTTCAATCATCATCTGCTACCAACATGCTTGAACCTCGTGCAATCAACATGACCGGCATTCTCCAACTGGTGCTTGAGGTGCAGCCTCTGAGAACAGTGGTTCTGGACTAGGTTGAACAATGCTGGTCTTGCGCGTACCACAGGGAACTAAACATTTCTTGAAGCTGGACGATGCCAGCCACATTTGCTGCCTGGCCTGTGTCGTCTGTGTCATAGGCCTTGTTTTATGTAAACCTGCAAGCTCAGAAAACCGTATCAATTGACCCGGTTGGTCGAATCAAGTCGAATCCATCTCAATGCTGATGCATACCGTGGGGTCCAAGTTAGCTTCTGAAGTCTCTTGAACGAGGATCCGTACTGCTGCACCCCAGGTCATGTTGGCGGACCAGTTACGTTCAACTTTAGCAAGAACATCAAGAGCCAAAGCTACGACAACTGCTACTCAGTTACTCGTTTCGAGCACGAGATCTGGTGAGTACAGTAAATATGCCATGGGTGCGACCGACCTAAACAGCAGGTTAACACTAAGCCCACTGAGACCTGCTGATGATGTTGTCTTCTCAGCCGTGATAGTTTTCACGTGTCTGGGTAAGCAGTGGCAGTATGCAGGGGATATTCCGGGTTCTGGGTGCCGGGTTTCCGGCGGGGTTCCGGGTTCGGTTTCAGGCTTTCCGGATCCTGGCCGGGTGTTCCGGGTTGGGGGGGTCGCAGCTAATAGCAGCACAAAGTCGAGGATCCGCAGGATGCTGCTTTCGACACACCCGCGGGATCAACAGTACTAGTGGTAGGCGCACGACAAGACCGCAGGAAGGCGAGGGACTGCAAGTGTCAAAACAAGAACGACGGCCATCCGAAGTAAACTTACTGCCAGCAAGAAACTTATGACTCATATGACGATCACAGCAGCAGCAGCCAGCATGTTGAAGCGTGCCAACAGTGCAAAAACTAATCTTCGAAAGCCATACAGACAAGCCTGCAGCACGGAAAGTAGGCAACCAAAGTCAGCAACGTCAAGGTGCCTACAGCAGTATCGAAGAATGCTTCACAACGCTGGCTGTGAAAAATTGCCAGAACCGCTACAGAAAGTATCATCGCCGTGGTGGCAAGAAGCCCAGCAAAAGCAAGCCTCGTCCTCATTTTTTCTGCTGGCGATCATTGCGCCATCTTGCAAGCAAGCTTCAGATACGCAGGAACCTGCAAAGGTAGGAAGAATTCTGCTCTCTGCAATGCTCTGCTAACCCATGTTGCTTTGAGGGGCTGCAGGGCTTCAACATTGAACACCTCCTGAGCCAGGTGTGCGTGGGATCGCGTGGAGGCATAAACGTCCGGGATCAGAAGGCTCAGCCGAAGGGACAGGAAAACTATCTTGAAGATAGTCCATGCTCTAGATACCGGAATGCCCCGAATATCACCGTATGCGCGAAATCCTGCCAGAGGGAGAGTCATGACACATGCTTGTTCGCGTACAACCTCTACAGGATTTGGTAAACGAGGCTTGGAGTGTATTGGCTTCCGTCGAAGTAGTATGAAGTTCGGATTGCCTTAACAGTTTTCAGGCCTGGTCGATGAATCAGGTTGTTGGGAGATGAGTATCAACCCTCGTGATGTCATCCCCATTTTCGGGTTTGGGGATTCAAGCTTCTCATCGGGCGAGTAGCTTCCACGAGCGAGTCTTATCAAGGCTGGAGATGAACGAAGGGTACATAGCCGCAGCCTACTGAGCCCAAGAGTAACGAAGCACCAGGGAACCGAAAGGGCAAGGCATGCTCTACAAAATCGCCGAAGTCTGACTTGCTAGAATCTGGATCCTGCTGGTCGTTCCGCTTGCACCTGCGCAGATCCCGGCGCCGAGCCGCCCCGGAGCTCGAAACTGTCGCCCCGTTGCAAGACCTGCGGAGTTCACGCGTTTGATGTCCTCAGGGGTTGAAGAGCTTTTGAGGGTCTTCGTTTAAAAGATGGACGGAACTCTCTGGCCAGTGCAGACCTAGCTGTCAGTGGAAACCTCGCAGGTCAGGGAAGCAGAAGGAAACAGAGTTCAAGTCAGTTCAGCTGCAAGAAGTGGGATTCTCAGGCAAAGCCTTCGAACCTGGATCAAGGACAACAACCCTGTCTTCAACACAACAGAACAAACATGACCGCTCCGGTCCTCGCTGCTCAGTATACTGGATAGATGTCAGGAGGAAATACAAAGCTCGAAAGTCGCCCAAACCCTACGTGGACGCCCTCCAAGGCTCCAACCCCCAAGGGCTAAACTTCGAATCGTTGTGGCCAAAATTCTAAGCCTCTCAGCCGCCAGGGCCCTCAAAGTCCCCCCAAGGACCGCCTTTGTGCAGCTCGGCCGGGCATCGCAGGCTCTCTGGGCCTACGAGGACTTGGCTGCTTTGGAGCAGGGTGGAGGTGAAGATCGGAGGCTCATAGTGGTTCCTAAGTTGCTGCGACTACGTATTGCGAGCACAGCAACATGGACAAATCAAGGCAGTGACGCCGTAACAACAATACTCAAACAACTCATGGGAACACTGGTCCGACGGGTCATAATACTAAGAAGAAACAGTTGCAGTGGCACTAGCATTGGCAGTGGCAGCGGCAGCAGCAGCAGCAGCAGCGCCTCCTCCAAACTGGTGAACTCGTGGCAGAGGAGGTCACAAACGCCCTGCTCTGCAGTCTGGCTTGAGCTGTATTCACCTGGAGAGGCAAACGAACGAGCCCTAGACAGCGAATTTCACCAACACGAACAATCCATCAACAACTCTCTAGAGTCTGTAGAGTTTCTGCATTAGGCTTTGCTGGCGTGACCCATCGAAGTGGTGTGATGCTGGAAAGGGTATGCAAACCAAGTGCTGCTCTGGAGATGAAGCCCACATGCAAGTGCCATAGCTACGCGGATCATGGATTTATGAGGTCTGCAGCCAGGAGGCACTGCTGGTTAGCAGCCTGGCATGGGCGGTGTACTTGTGCTCGACATGAAACCATTTCGAAGTTCTTATGTTCGGAGGCTTCAAAGCGATGAGAAGCACGGACAGCTCATAACAACTGTATCAAAAACACAACCTTTTGGTCGCACATACGAAAAACTGAAGATCTAAAGTCCACACATGTGGGCCTCTGCCGCTCGCTGTGAGGCGGCCACAAACCGCGGCTCTGCCCTGAGTCGGTCCATGGTGTCGTCGTGCACCAACCAAAGGTCCTCGGCTTCGAGTTTGGGATTCAAGATTGCAGTTTCTGGGAAGCGGATCTGGAATTGAGATGTTGGGGATCTGGTCGAGATTTGGCGGCTCAGTTGACAAACCAGGATGCATATCCTTAGATCTGCTTCTGAGGCACGGTGTGGTAGCCCCGCATGACCTCACAACAGCCGACCACGCATGCTTGCATGATCTGTACCGACAACAAACTTTAGATCGCCCCTTCCCATCATGCCGAGTCTTCAGGTGTCGAATGCGGAGATGGCAAAGCAATCCCTGGCTTTGAAATTTTATCAGTTCAGACACCTACCCTTGGTCCTGGTGCGGCAAGGTTGTTTAAACGTCACGCGTATGTATGGTTTGAAACCCAGGAACCAGCCAGGAACCATGCCAGTAGCAGCCCCCCAAACCCTCCAAGCCTGCTCCGGTGCTGTCTCCACCAGCTTGGCGGCCCGGCAGTCTATGTGAACCTTAACTTGAGGGTCTGATCTTGTTCTGTAGGAGTTTCGACCTTCCTTCGTTGCGACATCGGATGCATCAAAGCAGCCCCTGCCACAATGAAATCCTCAGCTTCGCAAAGAAACACAGCTTGCTCTTCGGGCGCTTTGTCGAGTGGCCTCAAGCTCCCAACGTCAGTGCCCTGCTGCAATCCGAGGGTCCCAAATTTCTCGGAGGGCTTCCGCTTCAGCGTCCAACAAGTCTGCACCGGCACAGCGGAGACCGGCGGGCAGGAGGATACCTTCGAGCGGAGCACTACTGTGCAGCGTACAGGAAAAGGAAGCCCTTCCATCAAAGCAACTCACCTGGCGAGCTCTTGTCCGGGCTTCCCTAAGGAAATGCTTGTCCCGAAGCTGTAGATCGAAACTGAACTCCACTGTTTGATTGCAACCCCCAACCCGTGAGTTCAGATTTGCATAAGATTTATCTGAACTCCTCACGGAGGTGCACTGCCAGGGCCGAGGTGACAGCTGCTGGAGCGTTTCGAGCGCAGATTGGGCGGCCGGGGAATGGTCGTACTCCATCTGCACCACCTGCTTGGGATGAAGGCACATCAGACTTCGCTGAAGGCCAATCCCTGCAATGAGTTGTGACTCTTGATCCTGGGTATCGGGACTGGGCTTTGGGGTCTAGCCTAGGCCTAGTCATAGGGTCGAAAATATCAAATGTGAGCAAGTGTCTCTTTGGATACTTGATTTCTCTTTGGCATTCTTGCATTTAGAGTATTGTGCAGAACCCTGGGTAAACCTTCACGGAGCTCATTGGCTGTTCTCTCTGGATGCCTTTACGGTTAGCTTGAAAACTCTGATGCATGCCAGGGTCCTAAGGAAATCCACACGGTCGACAGGCCTCAAAGCTACCATCCCGACACTCGAAAACTCGTCCAACTCCGTACCGAATCTCCCGAAACGCCAGAAAAAACCCAACAGCCCAAGCTGTGGCCACCAAGTCCTAACAGAAATATGAGTCCTCACTGCATCCCACTCCTGCGCATCATAGCTCACAGGTGGGTTTAGGGTTTAGGCTTAGGGGTGAAGCTGCCTGGATCGATCCAGCGGCCAGGAGCTCCTTGCCCGAGCGGAAGGCCTGGGAAAGTCGTGCCCGTGGCTCTTAGCCCGACCTCCGACCTTAAAGCCCCCCCGGCGGACCTGGCCTTCTGGCGGGCAGCGGCTTTATCCCCGACCCCCGATATGTGTATGAATAGTACTTGTAGTGCTACTAAGTGGTAGTGGGCGCCCGACTAGGAGTACTAGTAGTAGTAGGGGTAGGGGTAGGAGATGGGGGAGGAGCAGGAGAAGGAGAGTAGCAGTAGCAGTGGCAGTAGTAGTCAGGAGTAGTAGTAGTAGTAGTAGTCGTCGTAGCAGTAGAAGTAGTAGTAGCAGTAGTGGTGGTAGTAGTGGTAGTGGTAGTGGTAGTGGTCGTCGTCGTAGTAGTAGTCGTAGCAGTCGTAGTAGTAGCAGTAGTGGCGGTAGCAGAAGTAGCAGCAGCAGAAAAAGTAGTAGTACTACTGGCTACTCCTCCATGCCTCAGTGATTTTCATTCCGGTTGGCCTCTAGACTGCTCCTGATGAAAGGGATCGTCAGGCTTCATGCTAAGGGGACTAAAACTCCTCCTAGATTAGGGACAAGCAGTCCAAGACATCACCAATATAACTTATCATAGCAAACAAATTTCGACCTTAGGGGTTGCTGTAACCTTTTAGGATCAGGGTAAGGGTTCCTATCGGTTTTATCTGTGAGATTTGTCAGAAGTCTGCTGCAAAGACGGCTGTTGTCAACGGTGAGCAGGGGAAAGAACAATGTTTCGGAGAGGGTCTTTGAAAGTTTCTGGGTTTATGACAGCAGGCGGGCATAGCCTCTGCTTCACACCCGCGGCAGTCAGCTTTCAGCAGGCACACCTGCCACTCACTGTAAACGTGAAGGGGACACGTGCAGCGTCAGGAGCTGGACTATGTGGAAGCAAATCCCAATGCAAGGCACACAGAAATGCGGGGGGCTACTCTTTTAGTGTTGTCTGTTGTTGCTTCGCGATTTCTCGGGTGGCCTGGGGGCAAAAGAAAGAGATAACAAACAGGAAACAGACAGAGACAGAAGCAAGAAAGAACGAAACACAAAGAAGGAGAGAACGAAAGAAAGAATGCCTAAACCCCAAACCAGCCCAGAGCACTCGCCAACAAAGTAAAAGAACGCAAATACATCACCCATCCAGCATCACAACAAACACCAGTCCGCCTCTGCAGCAAGTCGTCAAATGATGGACACTAAAATGCTGTTCTCCTGTGACGTGACATGACAGCCTCGAACTCCGACGAGATGACTGCTTGCACCTCTCACCTCGTGCCCATGAATAGCTCAGTTTCACCCCAACTGTCTTGAGCTTTGGTGGTCCTGCAAGTGTCAAAACGACTTGCTGTCCTACCCACACTTATCCCAAACCCCTTGCATTTGTCCAACTCCAATCCTCCGGAGAAATACCAACTCTACGTGCTTCCAATGCTCTGCAACACAGACTCATTCCGCTACCCGCATCAAGGAAAGTTGCTATCATAAGTACCTAGCGCAAGGAGGTGCAGCCTGAAGCAAGCTCAAAGATCAAGATGTCAGCACATCCTAGCGAAAAAAGGCAGACATTGAAAGATGGATATCATTGACCGGGGACCTCTTGCCTAATTGATCTTGCGGAGTTTGTTCCTGAGACTTGCCAAGCATGACCTTCAAGGCTCTGTTTGCTGATGCAGATGGTGCCGGGTTTTTGTGTTGGGTGACGACTTCCTTTTGATCAGCGAAGTCGGGACCTCACTTCCTGCCTTGGAGTCGGGGGGCACAGCGTCGTCCAAGCGAAGGGCCTTCAACTCCATGCGGCTACCACATGCTACCGTCGCAATCGCACCAGCTTGCAGGAGGATTTCGCACTCCCTGCTTCCAAAACAGCTTGAATCCCTGGACGTTTCGGTTCCCCGAGCTAAACACGCAAACGTGCGCGGAGCCTTCGTGGCGCTGCGACCGTCGCCGGCCTCTCGAGATGCAGACCTGTGCTTCCAGTGAGGGACGTCCTTTTGAGGATCTTAAGGTATTGGGGACAAACTGAATGGCTGATGAGTGCTGCTAGCCGCTAGCCACTTGCAGCACTTGCATGGAAAGGAAGACCGTGCGTTTGCATTCTGGGGTGTCACACCATGAATGTATTGAGTTCCAGGGACGAGACACTTTGACTGTCACTGTGCCGTTCCAGTGATGGCTGCCTTGTTGTCTGAACCACATACTTCGGTGGTTGTCCTTGTCAACTCGTGTAGGGTATTGCACGCCTCTGTTTGCAAGACCGCAGAATCCTGGAGAAACATGTCCTCGGCTTCACTAGTCACTGCGCTTGCCCTGTAGGAGAGCTGCTATTTGAGTTGATCACGATGGTACGTCTGGTGAAACACCAGTGACACAAGACACCGCTTGCTACAAAAGCCAGCGCCTCCGTTCCCACCAGCGTGACTCATCCACATAGAGCTGGCCGGATGCCTGAGCGATGATTCGAGGAGTTCTGCAGCGAGGAAACATCCAAGTTTATATAGCCGTAGGCCGCAGCAGGAAAGGAAAGGTTCACTAAGATTTATTTCGGCTATGCTCAGTGAGAACCGTGCAGATCTTTGCCTCCGCCAAACCGCCGTGAAGGAGGTCAATTCGACCCTGCCAGCCGTTCCTTGGCGTTGGCTTGTCCCGACCCCGCAAGCACCGAATGCTTCGAACATACGAAACAGAAAGCTTCCTGTGTCGTATGGGGTTTGGTCAAAACCTTCGGCCTGGGCGGAGTGTCCAGAATCAGCCATGGCTTCGTTTGCTTCTTCGTTCTAGAGATGCAAAACCATGTCATCAGAAATTGTTCGAAGATGATAGAAGGAGTCCTAGCAAAGAGCAAACCGATAAAGCTGTTTGCTCGTATCGTCTTGAATAGTCTCTCCGGGAACACAAGACAAGACCCCAAAGCAATCCGAACAGACTTCCCTAACGCCTGATGTTGCAACTCCAGGGTTCAGGGCGATGGTCTTCTCCATGTACCTGGATGCAAAAGCACGACTTCCCGCTCACGCTCTGTTTGGGCCTACTCTTCACTTTGGAGAGTCAAATGGTTCAGGCTTGCTGGTCGCCAAGCACTTTCCCCCCAAAACTCCTGAGTGCGACCACCCCCCCGCCCACACTCGCCTTTGCAACTCCACCCCCAAACCCCAAATCGCCAAAACCCCAAAGCGGCCGGGTGAGGCAGAGACGCCTCAAAGGCGCTTGCCGCGGCTCCACGGCAAGGACGTGGAGGCCGCTGGCCGCTGCCAGTGCAGAGAACCATCCCAAATTCATACCTGGGATACAGCCAAGAGCTCAGGCAGCTTCGCTTTCTTCGGAGTTTGAACTCTGAGAAAGCTTTCTGCTTCTGTTGAGGGGTCTTGGGTTTGCACTGGGCTCGAGGGCCAAGTCTTGGGGGAGAGTTGTCCTGGTTTGGTGCCTGTTTGCAGCCAGAGAGTCATGTTTGTAGTGTGATTTGAAGTGTGGTTGCACCTGAAAGAATTCGGTGCTGCGAGGCTTGTGTTCACAAGGCCCTGGTTTAGTGTCTGTAGGCATTGTATGGTTCAGGCCCATTTTTAAGCCCTGCATTGCGCCCAGCTTGCACAAGCTTTGCCAAATCTATGCGGAGCTGCCGATGTCGATGGCAAATGTGAAGTCGCCCACCTTGCACCATTATGACCACAACCGCGACTTGAGGGTCCAAAAGTCTGGTGTACAAGGTTTTGATTTCGATTCGAGGATGGGGGCTGGTCGTGCAGGAAATGAGAGGTGGCAGCCCTCAACATCCGTTCTTCGCATCGCTCGTCCACCTTGTCGGTCTATATGTCAAAAACCGAGGGCACGACGCAGCCCTCGTCGAACACCCACTGAGCAAGCAGTGTCAAAGGACCTTCGTCACCGTGCAGAAGCGCAAAGGCAACTTGTGAGCTCTAGGCAGTGGTACTTCATGTCTAGCGTCGACATTCAGCTTGGGGATGTTCAGAACGGCTGCTTTTTGGGCTCAGTGCTGCGCACCATTCTGGACAACACATCGCAGCACAATTTGAAGCCGCGCACCCGTCGACACAATTAACATCAAGACCCTGCGATTTTCGCAGTCAGAGATGAGGAGCACTCGCGCAGCTTCTGCGTCCGCAGCTCCTTGGAAGCGTCATCTTTGGCGGTCGCAGACACGGCGTGTAACCTCCACAAGTCAGCCAGCATGCTGCTGGCTTCTGTTGGCTTGTTGGACCTTCTGATGGCTCTGCGAGATTGGAGGTAGATGGGCTGTTCGTTGAGCGTTGCGGCATTGCGGCTTGATCTCAACAGTGGCAAATGCTGCGACAGGTCAGTTGGTAAAGCCGGAAACGAGAATCTCGCACGACTTTGATGGCCAAGCTGCCAGGAGGGAGTTGCCCAGGTGCGGAGAACTACCACGTCCTGAGCGCTGAACATGACACATCGGCCAATAGCGAAACTTTCTGAATCAACAGTCATGTGGCTGGTGCAAGCGAAGACGTAGGAATGTCTATGCCAAGCTGCCGTGAGCTCATCCACGATCCGCTTCATCTCGTCGTTTAAAGCGGTCTTGGAGTGCGAGGGTTTGAGAATTCGATGAGGAGTCAAGACGTCCGAAGACACACGGGCTTCTGTGCTGCTCTGTCTGGGAGCGCAGAACCGTTCTCACGATGTTTTCTTGGAATAAAAGCGACGCAGGCACGGATAACTGAGTAACTAGTTGCGGCCTAGCGGCGTATCCAACAGACTGCCCTTGCCGAAGCCGGGCTGGATCTTGCTTCGCCCTTGGAGCCAAGGATGCCAGCAATTACGTGGTCTGCGCGCAGTCTGCGCCTCCCTGTACCTCAACGCTTCCGACATACCGCAAATCACCGCTCAGCCTCTTCGCTGCTTCCAGGGTGCTCTTGCAGCTCCGCCGCAGCCGACTCAGGGTTTCCGGAGTAGGGATCGAGCTCTGTTACGTTGTTTCGGCGTAGGTTAGACCCGAAGTATGAGCTTAGCTGAGGATGCGGGAGGGGGGCTTGGTCTCCCAAAAAGGCGGATAGGATGTCATCTCCCGCACCGGGAAAGCTTGACCAGCTAAATCCGACTGTCTACGGAGCACAACAACCCCACTATGCAAACGCAATTCCCGTCAAAGTAGCCGAGTTTTGTAGAGCATGGATGATAAAGGGTTGCGGAACCCGACCCCGTGGGTGGTAAAGGATTGGAGAGGGTTTTCGGAGATTTGAGTTCAATCGCTTTTTTCAGAATGAGAACTTAAGAAGAAGCTAGGGCTGATGCCTGCCCGCTGGATATCATTTCAGCAGCCTAGATATATTCTACGCATTGAGACTATTGGGTGTGGGTATCGAAAGGCCTCCACCCAAATTTCAGCTTCGACTATTTCTCTTGCGGCGCTGCCGTCGACGAAGACTACCTCCACTACGACTACTAATATGTATTATCCTGATCAGGCAATTTGATCAGGCCCTGCCATAAACAGCAAGCCACCACGATGACGATCATGTTTATCTATGCCATGGCTTTGCTTTAATGGTCGTCGTCCTCGTCCTCGTCCTCCTCCTCCTCCTCATCCTCACCCTGCGGTTCTTCGTATACAGAGTCAATCGTACTACCAAAGTTTCGCTGAAGTTGCTCTGTGCAAGCCTGCGGGATTGTCGCTGGAACAACCTCGACGATGCTGCTGACTCTCGAGTTCCTGGGGTAGCAGCAGTTCTTCTCGTGTTTGGGTGCCCTAGGGGTGTTGGGATGGCACACTTCGCAAGGGGCTCTTCCGGGCTAAGACAACCACATCTTGGTGTCAATTCCTTCAGCTTGAGAGAGGTACATGCTTGGACGGAGATCTACACGGCGCAAGTTGGTTTCGAGGGCTTTTTGTTTGAGTGTTCCAAGGATCCTACGCGGGGTTCATGATTTCAAAGGTTGCAAGTGCTTGGGCTTGCAGGGTGACTAGAAGCTCGAACACCTGTAGTTCCAAGTCTTTGAGCTGGGCAAGCCAAACAGCATTGAACTTTCACTGTTTGGACGACTCCCATCATTTCCTGGAACTCCACAAATCAACTTGTGAACGCTAGCCTCCTCAGCACGCCGTCCCTGGCCCCAACCACCCCATCTTTGTAGAGAGAGGGTCCATGCCAAACCAGCGATTCCGAAGAGGATCAACAACAGCAGGCCTGCGCACGGCAACCAGGGGTGAACCGGCAGGTGATGGGTTTCAAGCATGGCTGTGAACATCCTTAGCATGTTCGGGACGGTTCCCGTATATCTATCAATCAGGTTTTCTGACATAGAAGGATGATAAGGATGCGTGACTCGCATCTCAAGATGCACGACTGGAAAAGGCTGAGTCTTTGTTTGAACAAACCCTAAAACGGTGGCAAAGTAACGTGCCCTGCTTCTAAACATACCCACTGAGCAACACCAAAACCAATCCTCAAACCGCTTGCGCATATTAGCAATCACTACTTTGTCAGTCAAAATCAAACACAGGCATCGCCAAGTAATCGTGCTGCCTGCGCGGCGGGTGTCCATGATCCCAGCCCTTCGCCATTGCCGGCGGGCTTAGTGCAAGTTGCTGTTGAACTGTTGAGGGCTGCGATAAGATAATCATGTCCGGTAAAGTCTCCATGGCTTTGAGTAAGTGTCGGTGGGGTTTCGGTTCAGTCTGCAGGGTGGACATTTGGCATTTGGTGCGAGTGTGCCAGATCTCACGGTGGCTGCTGCTTGCCGCGTCCGTGTTGGGCGCAGGCAGTTGCAGGCCAGCTGGGAGTGATGACGGATCAAGCCTGGACTTGAAGCAAGCTCATGGCTTACATCCTCCCTGCGAGCCGACACAGCGACGGCCAACCCGCCTGCTGCCGGTGTGATGAGCGTGTGGATCACGAAGCCGAGTGCGATGTTTGCTACGATGACATGTGCTTCGCACTCCGAAAGCCGGTTTCTACGAGGCCAACACAACAGCTTCATCCGCGGCATGCAGCTCACCCACATGTTGCCCATCACTATTCTGGTAACCACCAGAGCTAGTTTCGGGTATCGCGCTTGCTCGAATTAGACTGTTCTCAGCATGCAGTATCTCCGTCATTGCCCCTCTAGGCTCATGCTACTCTTGTTCTAGCGGCTTTTTGTTCTTCTTGGTACTCTTACGAACCTCGAAACATGTCGCCCGACCAAACTTCCCATGCTTCTGTTGCCGCTGCAGTTTCTGGTTCAGGGTTTGTCTTCGTGTTTAGGGTTTCACTTTTCTAAAGATGTTAAGCTTCTTGGTTTCGAACCTAGGACCTTGCGGTTCACGACGTTAGCTCCGAGGGTTCACTTTTAATGCAAATTCTTTGGGGTTATCAGCGGTCTTCGCTTTTCTGTTGACGGTCGTAGGGCTTCGAGTTTCAGGTTGTCTGAGCCTGCTGCGAAACTTGTGCTTGATGACTCGATGACACATGCGATGCAACCGTTTGGGCACCAGTCCCATTTCGGCTGACGCATTAGCCTCGGTCTTATTACAATGTTTGTCATAAACCTTGTGACTTTGACTATGAGGCGGACGATGGACAACATTATTATTATAGGGCTTTCATTGTCTATTACGTGCATGTCAACTTCCTCCTCCCGCACACGAACGAGTCGTTGCTTTTCCTCTGCCAGGCGAGGAATGTAACCATCGGGGCAGCGGCGGCAGCTTTGGCGGCCATGCATGATCTCGTGTACCTCATACAGTTCAAGGATGCTTACGATCTAAGTCGAATGAAGTGTTTCGGGTTTAAAACTAAAACCATTTCGGGAAGCAAGGTTTCATTGATGGTCCTGCATCGAAGTCTTAGCGTGGAGCTGGGGGTTTCGGGTCTATGTGGGCATGATGACAGGTGAACTCCCATAGCATCGCAAATTCGTCACTCCTGCTGGGTCTTTGTCAGACCCAGTGCCTTGGGTTCGAGGCCCGAATCCTGAACTGCGTCTCAGCAAGTCTATGAATATCCCATGTTCCCACTGGCAAAGAAATAAACCCTGTGCCGAGGAACCTCCCGCAGCTTCTCGGGATCCTGTGCAGATTCGGGTTAACGTCGCCGTGTTTTCAAAGCGCGGCAGCTGAAAAACAGGTCTCAAGCAATTCAAGCCGAAGCCGCAACAATCCCTGACCCTGTATACCCATATGCCTGAAGCTTAAACCCAGTCATAGGGCGCACATGACCAGAACCTCTGAAACGACAACAACAGCACCACTTACGACAACTGCGGTAGTGGCAGAAGCACCATATCGGCGGTAGAAGTGGCAGCGCGGTGGTGGTATCATCTATATATATATATATATATATGTATATGATATACACATGTATGCATATTTCCTGCTGCCTTGTAGTCATGGAAGCTGATCGGCAATGGTGAAGCCCAGAAGCGGTTGATCCACAAGCAAGGCATGAAGAGATGCCTCGGAGTTGTGGCGTTTTGGGGGGAAGTTCAAGTCCGTCCGTTTAAGATGGCAAGCGCAAGTAACATCGTCTTGGTTCAAGGTCACGTGTTTCGGCAATACGGTCTTCAGGATTAGGAGTTGCGATTAGGGTTGCAGTCACACAACCAGGTGCGGTGTCAGCAGTGAGCCTGTTACTCTACTTCAACAACACGGTGCCTGCGGGTGGCAAAGTCGCGGTTTATCGCTTCTCGAACACCGCCGAATGCTGATGTGCCATGACTTCGTCTGTATTGCACTCTACCGATTGTGAATGACATTCTTTGACCTTAGTTGCCTGTGAACTGCTGATCTGCGGGTATGACGTGGGGACCTCCGTACAATTTCGCAAAACGGGAGCTCTGATTTTCCGCGAACTCAAGTCTTTTCCAAGTTGCGCCTTCCCTCGCCAGTGGATAGCTGCATTACCTGAGACCAAGGTCGTTCGGAAGTGCAAAACCCATAGCCCCGTAAGGTCAACCCCACTCATCAAAGTGAAGGTCACGTGACGCGCATACCGGCTGGGAGTTGCGGAGGAACTTCTGCATGTTCCTGGTTCTGATTAGTACCACCAGTCCGGTTCGTTGTATGGACTGACGTTTGGTCGGTGTAGGTCGGCACCGAGATGCTGGTGATCTCCCTTGGGTCCGCCATGAGCTCCCCATAGGCGTTGTCAGGTGCGTGGGCAGCCATGTCCTGCCACGCACTCTGTGCGACGATGCTCGACCCAAGCATTCTAGCACCGAATCTGGCCTCCATGCGAAAGTTCATGAAGTACTCGCGGCCCCATCGGTCAGTCACATCCGGATGCGGTCCGATGCCCGCTTCCTCAAGACAGATGGGGATTGCTGGTATTGCGTAGGTCTTGGGGTGAACAGTGACTCAGGTACTCATGAGGTGGGCTTGAAGACTTGGACTCAAATTTCTCGAGATGTGGCCCCGCAACCAGTGGAAACATCCTCATAACGGCTTTACGGTTGAGAACCCAGGCAGGCGCAGCGCAGCAACCAGCTCTAAAACTGCTCGCTCCAAGATGGCATTGGGATTGAGGAGCTTGGAACTTTAAATCCAAGCCAGTCAGGCACAAGTTCACCAACATACCATCAGGTTGTCTTTGTTTCTCAGCCTCGGGGAACTTTAAAGCATCATCCGAAAATAGGTCTCCTGCTCTCTTAGTATTGGACATCTACACGGAATTTCTGTTGCTGTGGAAACTTGCAGCTCCCTGTTCCAGCTTAATTTGGAATCAAGAGTCAGCCAGGCAAAGTCCCATCCTTAAAACAATTGAAGGCTGCAGAAGCATTGGGCCTTCGTATGCCCGTGCTCGACAGGAACTTCTGAGCTCACGCGCTGCTGCTTGGTTGCAGCCTGCCTGCATAAAATCTCATTAGCCGCTCCCCAGACCAGCTTCATTGCTTCCCTTCCTGCTGCCTTCATGGCTCCTACCCTGTTTCCTCGCATGTCGAGCATCTTCGAGCATGGCAAATCTAAACTCTCGCACTGATGCAGCGGTCGATACTACCAAGAAAAATTCAGCTTATTTTGTGGACCGAAGCAATCGGCGAACGGCTAACTTGTTGCCAAAGGTCATGATGTCCCCGCGATGTCCAGGAGCCACCTGATCCAAACTAGCAGAAAGGAAGCGGGATTTCAGGCCTGCTCTTCTGCAGCTGAGACGGCTGCCTTGAAGCTCGACGACAAAATGGGAGTGGGGGTTCCTTATTTTGGGGTCCCTAGAATAAGGATCCTTTCTGAAACTACCTTCCGTGAGTGGCCATCCTCTGTTGATGCCACCTGTAGCGCGTTAGACACGATCATCGCCAATTTCCAGTGATTGAAACAGCACCTGTCTGTTCTTTCTGTCTCACCTTTGTCGCCTATGACCTTGTGTCCGCCAACCCTAGAATAAGGATCCTACTATTTAGGGTACTACCTATTTTCGGAAACTCCCAAATCAATCCTCTTGAACAAAGCCACAAAAAAGTGCCCCCCCCCCTCCCAGTTTCACCGTAGTGACTTGGAAGGTCCCATGCTTGAAGCCCGACTCAAAGGATGTCACGGCAAAAACCTCCCTGGCTTCGACATAGCTAGCTCATAGCTTGCAAACTCAGCCTCCTTGCATTGCCATTGCTGCCCGCTTGCGGAAAAAATCGCACCTCATTTAGATACTCGCCGAGTTTTCACTCCGAGCCCGAAAGGAAAGCCTCGCGAGTCCCAGCCTCGCATCGCGCGTAGCTCGCAGCTTCAGCCTTTGGCGCTGCCTCCCGAACATCCAGTGTGCCTAGTGTCCCGAAGGCAAAACGTCTTCATGTTCCTGAACCCTCTCTCTGGATTCAGATTCGCATAGAGTCGCTCCTATGTTTGGTCTGGAAGACTGCTTTGTCTGAGGAAAGTCCACGCAAATGTCAGATGACGGAACATTGTCAAACTCGGCTTTGAAAGCCTCGCATTATTCTCGACTTCTCGTGCTTCCCATTTACGGCCGCTTTGCAGCTCCAAATCGCCGCGGAGCAAAGCCAAGAACAAGCTCGTCTCAATGGGTCCCTTTTAGACAGTCGCACCTTGACTACTGCACCCATTCGCAGCACTGCGGCTCGGCTCAGACATTGGACCTGAACAGGTCGTGCACAGCAAAAACTCTTGATGGTTCTCAGGGGGCCGAGTCCCGAGTCATGCGGGAGAGGACCTAGGGCAATCAAACTCAATCATCGCTGCTGTATCCTTTCACTGCTGCGAGGCATTGGGATGCCACAGCCCAGCCTGCTCGTTGTAAAGGATGCGTGGCTCGAAGTGTACTTGCCAGTATGCCAAGCTCCCAAGGTACAACGGCTCCTGCGACGTTGACAGGCCGCTAGGACTGGAGAGACGAGACCTTTCACGAAAGGACACTGCCAGGATTTTTCCACGTCTTAGCCTCTTCAGCTCTTGCAGGGCACAAGTAAACTAGACTGAGCGAACATCAGGCCTGAAGCACATGCTGCGCACCTCGAAACCACAAGCCCACTTAGATTTTGTCTTCAAGACATTCCGCTTCGTCAGTCCTCAGCACTCAGATTCCGACCAACAACGAACCTGCGGAAGTTGGCCGCGGCAAAGTAGCTATCCGTTTCGACCTTGCTGCACGACTGCACTCCTAAATCCCAGTTGAGAAGCCACTCCATCCCTAGCCGTGAAGCCGATACCCTCTGCGGCACTGTCGGTTCGGTAAAATTGGGTAAAACCCAGCCAACTTCTTCGGGCACTTCACGAGGATTGTGTGCAAGAAGACTACCATGTCTTCTATCATATGGGAATGTGCAATCCTATCTGCACACAACGTACAGGATTCGAGACCTCGACCCCTGGACTGTCGTTTCTGTAGGGCCATTTGCCGGATCAAGCTGAGGGGCACGGCACACCCAGTCCGGGAGAGGCTCCTCGGGCAACGTGAACTGGAAGGTGGACGCGTTCAAGGCGAATTCTGTGGTGCAGGTATTGCCAGGAGTGTGGGCTGGGCTAGGGTGATTCTGGTCAAGAGAAGAGGTTGAAACTGCGACTATGCATTTGACCAAAAAGGCGTGACCTGAAACCGCCCAACTGCGAATTGCACGTCGTGACCCGTGCCGGCTTCAACTTGGATCTCCCTGACCGGCATACCAAAGATTGCCCACGAGTCCACCCTGACTACGGCTGCTATTTCCGCACGTTGGGTGGCATCGAAAATCTGCAAACCCTGCAACCCCTCGTAGAGGTGATTGGCAACGGATCGTCACAGGACAGAACAACTCAGACGGCCGTCCGCAAGCCCTTCACCTCCTTTGGTTCAAGGATCCTGACTTGCGGCCAGGTGTTCGAAGAGAAGCAGGTCTTTCTGGTTTGCACCAGACGTCCTGCAATGAATCCACTGCGTCCGCGCGATTACCAACCGATTCCTGAATGCATGTTACCGGTCCAGGCAAGCCTGCGAGCAAACGGTGTCAATAGTGTGTAACGGACTGATGCTAGACCCTGACAATCCCCAACTCCAACCCCAAACTGCCACACACCCCTACAGAAACTCTTGAAGCACCCGACTGCCTACACCAAAACCCTCGAGAAACTCCCAAAGCCCCACTTGAGCCCAGGGGGCTCCCTTCGACCCTCGGAAGCCAAGGCTTCTCTCCGGTCTCCTCCGAAGGCAGCGGTTTAGGGTTTAGGGCCTTGCTAGGCTTTAGGGTTCAGGGATGTTTAGGAGCGCAGGCTTCGAGGGGCGTTGGGGACTAAAGGGCTTAGGCTTAGTTCATGGAAGGGGTTCCGGGATCACAGACAAGGTGGGGGGTATTTTGAGAGCTACATCCATCCACTGCCGCTGCTGTTGCCGCTGCTGACGACGACGACGACTGCTACTACTCCGCTACTCCTACTCCTGCTCTTGCTCCCGCTACTACTTCTACTACAATTGGTACTCTAAGAACAATGTCAGTAATTGCTCGTAATAACGATGAGAACAAGATGAGGAGAAACCATCACCAAGAAATGTTGGCATCAAGCTGATGTGTGTAATCGTAATGACACTCTCCAGGCTTCACGAAGAGGCTTGAGTCCGAAGCGCTCTCTCTCTCTCTCTCTCTCTCTCTCTCTCTTCTTCCCCGGGGCATGAGGGGTGTGCGAGACCCCTCGGCCTTGTAGGCCCCCCCAATGTTCGTGGGGCTTTTGGAGGAGCATGAAAAGTGTGAATGTTTCCCCCTGGAAGTATTATCATGTAAAGTGTGACAGGCATGTTTGCAAGTTTTGGTACACAACAGATCCCAGGGTCAAACTGTTCACCTAGTGACATCAGCACTGCTCGAGGGATGTAAACTCTCTCTCTCTCTCTCTCTTTCTTTCTTTCTGCTGGGCTCTCTCTCTCTCTCTCTCTCTCTCTCTCTCTCTCTCTCTTTTCAGGCTTTAGGATGAGGTCCTAAATCTTGAGTCTTTCATGGTTTCAAACTTGAGGGGCCTGCCGGCCCTCAATGCCTAGAGCTTTCCAGGGATGTGGTTGATTCCGGAGCTGGTTACAGCTTTTGTAGGCTTGAACATCTGAAACAAGCCCAAAGTGGAGCTGAGACATACGCCAGGGATCGGAGCATTGCAGGCCAGCGAGCCGCAAGGTTCACCACAATCGCACCTAGTACGTGGGCTCGGGACTTCGGCTTGGAGTTGAGGGTTTTGGGGTTTTGGGGTTTAGGGCCGGGGGGTGAGGAGTTTGTGAGGCGATGCGCTTCAAACTGCGTCGCAAAAACCCAAACTCGAGTGACTTCAATCCGGTCAATTCAAACACTGAAGTAGAAGGGACTGCCTCATACAAGCTTGCAGTCAAAGTGAGACATCCAGCATGCATAAGCCATAAGCTGCAAGATGTGATTTCGGTGGCTACTGCACCCTTCGCTCATGCTGAGGGCCCTATTTCCCTGCGTCAAAATATCTCTCAACCACGCTTGCCGAAGCTGAACACCACAACCCCATGGCCCGAACGCATCCAAACCTGAAAGTGGCACCTTCAAAGAGCTTCGCTATTTGTCGGTGTGCTTCGGCAGCCGTTGCCTGGCTTGGGTACCGTTATGATAACTACAAGATGCCCTAAAACCAGAGACCGATGAGGAACAGTGAATTGCAAATTTTGTGTCGTGCATGCTAACAGCACAAAAGTCCGCATGCACACAGGGCTGCCAAACTCGGGTCACCTATTCTCATGCACTCCATCCTGCAGGCTTTGGTGAGCCCTGCACCTGTCCTTCACAAAAGGCCTAATTGCCAAAAGTATGTTGCTCAGATTCTATTCCGCAGGGACTTTTCGTCGGTAACTTTCTCTTTGCCTTTTCTCTCTTGCTAAGCCCACATATGCAGCGCCACAACTTCGATGCTATCCACTGGCAGCAAGAAGGAACGGTGCGAAGCATGTTGCTAGTTTGATCACTTGGGCATAGAGCCATAATATGAAGGCCATAGAATCATCTCAATGGCCCATGATGCTGGCGTGTGTATGCGAATCTCTAGTCACTAGTCCCAACGCCCCCAGTGAGAAATCTTCTCGACAGCACTCCTGTCCTCGTTCGGTGATGCCACGAAGAAGACCAGCCTTTGCCATGTTGGACTTGGCATTCCGTCAGAGTGTGGGGTTGCTTTCCTACTCTTCGGCCAGGTTTGGGCTTCAAACCAGTGAAGCCAGGGGCGAGCCTAAACTGACGCCCCACGGCTTTGCAATCATTTCCTCCGAAGTCATCAAGACTTCACTCCAAAAGCCTAAATCCACGAACGAGTCAGGCGGAATCGCATCAAGAGAGGGCAAGGGGGTGGACATGTACCATAGGGGCCGTTAAAGACCGACCATGATTCGTCAGAATCTCGGCTACACATTCTTTCTAGTTCGCTCGCTATCACGACCAAACAGACGGACACAAACAGGTACTTAGCCTTACTAAACATGAAACGAGTCACACGGTACAAGCCCTGGATCCGACATGCCCCTGAGACTCTGCAGTGAAGGGCACCTGTCACACTGGGGACCATAAGTCTCCACGATGGCTGCAGCGGCCAGCTCCTCTTGGACTCTGAATGCTCTGGACCAAAGTCTATGGTGGCTACGGTCCATTGCGTGCAAGCTTACGTTGTTAGATCTTTGCGATCCGGTTCTATGCAGTCCATCATACACATGCTACTGCTGCTACTGCCGCCTAAACCATATTAAAAGGACTACACAAACTGCACTTCCTCTTCAAAGGCTAGGATGCGCCTGTCTATATGGGCTAACGAACTTGCCAAACATCATCGTTGTATTTTGTTGTATTTATCACAGCAAACTATAACTCCACTGTTAGCTACAGCTTCCACTAGTCAGACCCAAATCTGCACAAAGCTCTCATGACTAAGCGTCACCTCGCCAGGCCATACCAGTGGGACGGCACAAAGCACTGTAGGCTCCTTTGGCCAGAAGAAGCTTGGCATCTCTGGGTTTGGGGGCTTGGGCTTTTGCATGTTGCTTTTTGAAGCTCTCAACCGTCACTGTTCCGTCCTTCGCCCAATCATTCTCCAGGAGCCCCTCCAGATGATCGCCTGCCGGGACTACCACGCATCCACATGCCGCAGCCTCCCGAACGACTACTTAGGACTCACGTAACTTGAGTTCCGGACAACTCGCGGCACCAAGAGCAAAAAGGTGCAAGCTCCAGGCTCTAAAACTCCGAAACTTTCGTGGCCTTGCGGTGGGCAATAGCGGCCCCGCCGCGGCAGCGTCCGCCACCAGCTCAAGGACTGGCGTGCGAAGCGATCTTCTGCAAAAACATGTAATGTAAGAAACCCTGAGTCTTTATTGGTATACTTAGGGCTTCTTGTATGAATCCTAATATCTTGGCACTATAGGGCCAGGGTTTCTTAATCAGGTTCCTACAGTAGGATGACTGTTTTTAGGAAGGCACGAATGGCGCTGGGGAATGTTTGCAGAGCGTTGGGGACTTCGAGCAATAAGCTCGAAGTGCTTCCAACCCAGCTGTGGCCCCTCTCCCGATCGTCGGCGGCAATATGGGCTACGGGGCCTGGGGATCAGGAACGCCTGGGCTTCCGTCAGAAAGCGCGAAGGCCACGCTCAGCAACACGGGGACCAGCAGCATGAATGCAGGCGTCGATCAACTTCGGGGGTCACACGTGCAAATGTCTCATGCAAAGAAAGAAACATTCATACACATGAATGTGCACATAAACATATATAGACACACATATATATGTATAATACTAAATATGTGTAATATACACACGCACACACGTCACAAATACATGCCTGCATGCAAACACAACATCCTGCCTTTGCATGTGCTGGTGGACCAACGGAAAGGAATGTACCTCAGCAGCGCGTAGTTCCGACCCACTTGCGCTGTCTGCGTAGGGTTTCCACGGCATGACATCACCGAGGCTGGAAAACCTCGTAAAAGTCCTAATAAAGGGGCCTTAATAATTAGAACAGGGTTTTGGGGGCCCACTCTACTTATTTTACCCCAAAATAGTATTGGTAATTATAAAGGCTCCTATAGTAAACGCCATGCTGTTTTCACCAAGCAACCGTCGCCGCTTTGCCTTTCCTCCGCTACAACGGCAGCGGGCGGAAAAGCAGTGCGTAAAAAGTTCCTTGGGTACGGTTAAGTCAAACTGGAACGCCGGGTTTCAAAGATTATCGGATGCATTCTGCACATTTTCTAAACTTTTCGTCTCGACCGAAAGTCGCGGCTGCAAGAAGAAATCCATCCGAGCCAGATTTTGGAGGCAGGGCCTTGCTACCGACATTCGTACAACAAGGACAATTTCGACAGTGACTTAGGTTGAGTTCGTTGGAGCGGCTCGTGCAGTCAGCGAAATGGTCGAGACGGTCGGCATCGCTTGGCTTGGTCGAGCGGAGTTGTTTTGTTTACTCTTTACACATTGTTATCAACTTCTGTGCGAGGGTATTCCTGAACAGTAAGCGATGTTGAGTTTTACTTTTTATTATAGCAGAACTGGCGATTGGGCTAGCGGGTATCGTGCAATTACCGAGACCGGTCCTTTTGGTTTAATTTCTCTTTACATCGCTCGCTCGTGACTTGTGGAATGCAAAATCAAGTTTCGGACCTTACACACTGTTCTCACTCGGAAATTTAAAACGGGCTCTGTCAAATTTCAAATCCTACTCATCGTTGTCTTGGTTGTGTTGTTGCTGTTGCAAATCTTGCAAATGGATCGCTTACAGCCAACCGCAATCACAACTCCGCACTCAAGCTCTCGAGCGTCTCTGTCGTGAGGGCTTTAACAAAGCAGCGCAATGTTGCATCACAACGAGACAGAAACCTGTGATCATCGTGACTTTCGCGTTCTCTCAGCCGGGCCACTGCCAGTTCTCAAGGATCTGACCCGACCACATAGGCCACTCGGAACCATCCAAGCAACCTTTGCTGTGCGGCTTGAACGATACACCATATCTCTAAGCCAAACCCTAAACCCCAAAGCCTAGGCCCCCAAGTGCTTGTAGGCAAAAGCCTCAGACGCTGAATCCCCAAAGCCTTGAAATCTAGCTGCCTTGCTGCGAAGCCAGAGCCGAAGGTTAACCCTGATTGCTCCGGGCCATCTCCCCTCCTTAGACCCTAGGCTTGGATAGCGGTTGCTTTGCAAAACGAGGTGGTTCTGTCGCAAGCCCGCAGTCGCTACACCTCTAAATCCCAACATCCGAAAGTCCTCAACCTCGAAGCAGTGAAGCGACAAACTTCAAAAGCGCCAACACAACCATTCAGAAATCACCAACCCCGAAAGCAAACAATCCTGAATGCTGAGTGCGTGAATCCTGAGCCTGGACTTCCGCCAACGCAACAAACGGCCGAGCAACTCAAACACAGTGAAAGGTAGCCGAGACCTTGCTCCCAATACCTCTGCTGTTGGACTCACAAGCCCGTTTAGGAGTGCAGGATTTGCAAGTGTATGGCATGACGACGGTCGGGTACGATGCACTTCGACTTAGCCAACCGGCATTTGTCACAGTTCAATTTTAACAGGTTGCGTTCAGTGGGTTGAATGCGGGACCTACGGACGGGAACGAACAACCACCGCACTGGAAGTGAGAAGGCGAAGAGCCAAGGAAAGCCGGTAGAAGCGAGGCCATCCCTGGTGGATTGCAACCCATCTCAACCGCACCATCTTGAGGAATTTCTGCCAAGCCGCAATGCAGATTGACGGCTAAAGCCTTTGAGCCACATCCTCAGCGTCACAGACATGCCAAAGGTCGCCACAAGAACGACATAGTTGGACCGGCTTCTGCCTCCGCGACAGATGCAACGTCAACAGTGCCCGCCGGCTTTCAGGACCACATCCTAAAGCGCATTCTTCTCATCTCGTACCCTTGCCTTGCTGCACATCCTCTGCAGCCCTTTCGTCCCTCCCAACGCATCTTCAAGGACGAGCGCTTCTCATCCGAGGAGCTGCAGCGCACAAGCTATCATGTAGTGCGTGAAGCCTGGAGACGGAAGAAGCCGTGGGGGTCGGTGGGGGTCGGGGACACAAAGACAAAGGCTGCAGTCCTTATTCTGTCCAATTCTTAGTAGGGCATGGGGGAATGGATTATGGAGACTATTATTGAAATTATATAGGGACTACTAGAACCAGGGAGTTGTTCGCAACGTTTACTCCGTAAGCAGCTGTGCAAGCAACGTGCAGCGGCGGTCATTTGCAGCGGAAGGGAGATACAACTGAGACTGAGAGCCTTGTACTGGAGTTTCACGTGCAGAACGCATGAAGCGGAAACTAGCTCGCTTAGCAGAACCACCTCTGACTAAACGCAAAAAGGACGCAAAGGACCTCACCGCCCGAAATCCTCAACCTTTGTTGCAAACAGAGCTTACCTTTCCATCCTCCCTCGACTGGACACGATGTCTGCTGTGCCTGGGCCTTGTTGCTGGGGGTTGTTGAATTCAGGATCAATGTTCAGAGATCCTGTCTGAACTGACTCCGAAAGCACTAAAATCCACACTTTCAGTGCGACCGGTCTTACACATCGCCATGTCTTGCACTTAATTGTATCTGCCAGCAGTGGGACTTTCAGCTTAAGCTTGTTACGCCAAGGCCCCTAAACCTCAAAGGTATACAAACATAAACGCAGTAAGCCCTCATCCCGGCGGTACCTGCAGCGCACGGTACCAGCGAAGAGACTTTGGGAAGTTCCTGGAAAGGTTCTGTGTTTCCGGGCTTCCGATTGCCACGGAACTCCTAGGACTTGGACCTCAAGAAGTTAGGGGTCGAGGTTGGGGACTTCGCAGCTCAATTCTCGGCTTTCGGGTTTGAGCAGGTTTAGAAATTTAGGGTAGAGAGGGGGGGGGCCTTGTGAGTGCGAAAGGTCTTCGATAGAAAGCATCCGCGTGGTCTCCCATCAAAAGTCCAATCGTTTTCATGCGCATCTGGAGTACCCTAGACTTAAGATCGCGGTGTTCAAGCGCAATCAAATTTGATGTGTGCGTCTACGACCCTCTCTGACCAAAGAAATGCTGGCGTTTTGCTACCACCCAGCGACCACTCTCACTGGCAGGTTTGTGCAGAGGTAAGAGTTCGACATCGAACCAGGACGATTCATACTCCGCACTGCGATGCCTCTTCGGAGCAAGACATTGCAGTGCCCTGCAGCATCGCCGCTGCAGCAAGGTCTGCATCCTTGTGGCTTCGGGTTAAGTTTAACAGGGATGATGGAAAAGACTGATTCCTAATGACTACCAATATCAATAAGAACAGCGGCTTGTGTTTTGGACTGTTTTGGGCTTCATGGACGCGTGAAGTGAGGTCTCCGTACGCTGAAGGGGTGTCCTGATGGGCCCGTCTATTCCAGTAGGGGATGGTATGTCTGAAGTGTCGACAGGTGACAGGTCTGGAAAAGCTTTCGATCTGAGTCGACTTCCAGCCCCAAGCGCACTCACGCGAATCCCAGAAAATTCACTCCGACTTCAACTGACTCTCAAAACGGCTTCATGCCGCCAAAAGTCGCTGCAGTCGTTGTTCATCAAGCAATCCGTAAGTCCTCGTACTTCAGGCAAGATAGTGTGAACAAACACTGGCATCGCTAGACCAGGTTTATGTTCGAGTGCTGGCGCGTTCTGTGCATCCGGAAGTGGAATTTCGGGTTTAGTGAGGCCGAGCTCTTGCAGAAAGCAGCAAAACCCCTCGCTGCCAAAGAGTAGGTCTCAATCTCAAGATCCCCAACACATGAGTTCAGACCAGCAGGAACAGTCCTGCGAGATCCAGATCCGGCCGGAACATCTCCCACATCTCCAGCCGAATCTGTCGAGAAACATCTTCTGCTGAGGACATCCCTCTGAATGCCCTTGACGCTGGTATACTTAGCTGCCAAGCTCTGCAAGGAAAACTGTGCGATAGGCTTTTTAGGCTGTGCACCATGCGTGGTGTGCCTTGAGGAGCAAAAGAGCTCCACAGCAATAATCAAGGACAGTAACTTCCGCCGGGTGCATGCTGCTGTCGGAGGATATCTTGAGCACACCAGAGCAACAACATGCAGCGTCGAGCCGATAGCCAGTATGCGGCCCAGCTGCTAACGACTTTGCTACAAAGTGCAATGCCAAATTTAGGGGCCTTTTCAATAAGGATTGGGGGTATATTGTAGTATAGCATGGTATTGGTAAGTATTTAAGCCCCTAGATTAATGTCGTGGGCTCGCGCGCCTGCTCCCAGCTTTGTCCGCACTGGCATCCTCCTGCAGGGAGTAGGGTTTTAGGGTTAGGTGCGCGTGCCTCCATCCGACAGTGTACGTAGTTACGCTCTCGCAACTCAAACTCTGCCAAACGATGTCTCTCGGATCAGGAACGTAGTTAATCTGAAACGATTGACACATCTGCGAGTGTTGTGCTTCTCCTCGTTTCGCAGGTTCAGCTGGTGCTAGTAAGGCTAGTATCTCTTGACATGGGGATGACATTGCCATATCCCCGAATCCACAGCCCTAGGCCCTACCGTAGATGCCTCAACTGTAGATCCCCAAACCCTAAATCCCAAACTCCACGTCCCTCAAGCCTTCTCCCCAGCTGTAGGTCGTGCCGAGAAGGAGGAGCCAAATCCAGCCCAGCTGCATGGTTTGGGACCATGGCAACTAGCGTTTTATGGCTTAGGGTCTTTGGTTTAGGGGTTTGGGGATGAGGGTTTTCGGTTTGGGGTTTACGGGTCAGGGTTTGGGGTCGTGCACTTGGAATCTGATCCATTAGACTAACACTGCCAACACCGGCAGTCGTGATGTTACCAGCCATGGTTGTAGTGGCGATAATGGTTGTGGTAACAAGAATGTTCATCCACACACAACAATTACAGCAACTTCAATGCGGATCAGCATAACAAGTCAGTAGGAGCTTGCAGGCCTGCTGCAGGCTGCCGGCTTTATGGCTGCAGTCTATTTTAGGCTTGAGATGGTTCTAATCATGTCTCGTCGGGGCCGTTAAGGACTACGACACTACGAGAAGAGTGTCGAGAGTCACCCGGATCTGTGTCATGAGAGCGCCTGTCAGCCGAAAGCTGTGGATCGCAGCTTCGGGAAAAGAGATGATTAAGTGTCTGGCGAAGCTTCAGAAGTCCACCGTCCAGCCGACCCGCCGAACGCTTAAGCTGGGGAGAAGGAGTGTGTTCGGAACACGCCTGAAATGAGGCAAGATTTACTCAAGTGCTCACGTGTTCAGGGCTTGGAGTGTCTTTGCATCACTTCTACAGAGGGAAGTGCCGTGGATGACTAGACATTGGCATTGCAGCCGCTTATGAACCGTATACCATCCCCACTGTCACGGTAGCTTGGTGCGTATCCGTACTTGCCTGACTCGCTTTCTAATTTCGAACAGGCACCCACGATCTTGTGCACCAGGCCCTGGACCGACAACTCTTCAGCTTGAAACATGTATGTCTGGAGTGCTCACCCTTGCCTCATGCCGGAAGTCGATACGAGCCTAATCTCTGAAGCCTGAGCCCAAAACATCCTAAACCCAAGGCCGCAGGCCCTGTTTTCAATTCCATCTCGGGCAGGTCTGCCCTCTTGGCATATGACCGCTCACGGCCAGGCTCTCTGCTTGCGCTTGCTGCGCATGGGCTTAGGAACCCGAGGTGTTGAGGTACTTATCTGAATGTCTGCCTGGTTTTGTTGCGAAATACGACATAGAGTCGATACGCAGTTCTGCTTGTGATGCACACACTAGTGTCAGTGAACAGTATTCGAAACCGTATTTTCGGCATCCTGCATGCTGGATACCGGCCTCTATACTTACTGAACCAATTGAGCAGGATGCTAAACTACAAAGGCAGCGTCACGTCAAGGCGTGACTGCCTCAGATGGCACAAGAGATGCAAGCTGTAGATGTCAGACCAATGAGGCTTCGTGAGCCGAAAAGTTGAAGACACAACCCGGTAATATCACAGTATAGCGAGGTGCGCAGATGTGGCCAAACATGTCGCCACGCCAAATATGATGGACGAATGCCGTAGCTATCGACAAGTCACGAGATTGCAAGGTGCCTCATGCTTTTCTCTTCTTGGCTTTTGCATCCTGGCATGTGCGGCAATACGCTGGATGTAACTGGAAGGGTGGCTCTCGTGCATCTGCTACAGTCTACAGCCAATCTCAACCTCCAATTTGGGAGAACGGTTCGTGAATGCCAAAAAGGGTTTATAAGCCAACTTCCACCATGTGAGTAAATGGAAATTCGGGGTACCTTATTTTGGGACCTTATAATAAGGATCCTATTATTTAGGGTACTCTATTAGGGTCCCCTATTTTCGGAAACTCCCAAATAGGGTCCGAATACCATCGTGAGTCCCTAAACCCTAAACCCCTATGCAAAAAAAACCCTAAACCCTAAGATTAACATCGACCGCCAAGGCCGCTCAGGACTCGCAAAGCGGGACTGTGGCCTTCTCCGCGGCGGCGGGCTCTTTCCGCTTTGCAGAGGCCTCTTCCTGCTGAGAGCTCCACACACAGGGAGCTCGAGCAGCTTCGACAGGGGCCGTAATAATTAGAATAGGGTTTTGGGGGTATACTATACTATAACTACTGTAAGGAGTACCCAAAATAGTAGAAGTAGTTATTATATGGCCCCTATAGTAGGTACAGCTGTTGCCGCAGTGCCGTCTTCACTCAGCAAACACTGTGCACTCGAAGGTCCTGAAAATCCAAGACGGCCTTTGTTACAATTCAATCAACCCCAAAGCCACCGAAGCTAACACATGAAATCGAATTCGACTCCTTTCTAGACTCTCCCTGCTGCTGGAAACGATGCGTTCAACCAAAGATCGGCCGACAACAACTTTCTCAACCCGGGGCCGACCCGTGAAACGTAATGTTCGCAATCCATCCTTGCAGGCCAATACTCCAAAAGACGTCAAAAACAACCAAACCCTCCCGAGCTGAGCTGAAGACTGAAACAACGTACGGAGTTGACTTTGGGGGTAAAACACGTCCCCTTCTCGCTGAAGACTGCAGGTTGTGGGGCGCCTTGATTTGAGAGAACTTCACACGAAGCATCCCGAAAGTCCGCACAAAAAAACCCAAAACCCCTCGTGGCGGCCTTCGGAGGCTCTTCTTCAGGGCTAGCGATGAGGACTGGGGCCTTCGAGGCCTGAAAGCGGAGTTCGAGATGGTCCGAGGCTTGGGGAGGGCTTGGCTTACCTTCGGCTAGTAGGGAATGGAGGAATGGGGTACCATAATTATAATTATAACTACTACTAGTTACTATTAGTTACTATTACTACCAGTCGTCCCGGGAGACCGGAGCTTCCGGCTCAGGACTTGTGGTACTTCAGGCCTTCCCCTGCTGTTTCTAGAACCGTCCGCAAGTCCATTCCTATGCTGGGGATGGTTTTTTTCGATGGTTTCAGTTCTTGCGACAACTGTTTCGGAAATCGTTCGATTCTTGCGACAATGCAATGGAGTAAATAATTGCTGCGACCACTGTTGTCTATTTTAAGTTTGGCTTCTCTACTTTAACCTCTATGGACTCTACTTTTTTTGGTGCTTTTTCAGCTTTACCCTTTGGCTTCTTTTCCTGTTACAGCTGCTTCTCTGCAACAATTGTTGTAAGAATCTAGCAAATTTTGCAAGAATTGCTGTGACAACCAAACACATGTCGCAAGACTTGTTTTGACAATTGAACACTTGTCGCAACAGTTCCACAAGTTCTCAACAGTTGCTGCGTCACCTGGGTGCATCAGTTTAGCACCGGGGGTTCTACAAACCTTTCTTGGTTAGTATGATTAAACTGTAGGGGTACTGGTGGTAGTAATGGTGGTAGTAGGAGGAGCAGCAACAGTTGCAGTGGCAGCAGGCCCTTCACATCGATTGTCCGCCTCGGCATCGACAGCCGGACCATCAGCTGCCGGCGCCTTCGCAACGAGGGGGATTCTCGATTGTAAGCCATTGGTATGCCACTCGGGGAAAGATGGACTCCGAGAGCTCGGATTCGGTTTCGGGTCCAAGGCTGCAACACTCTGAACAAGCAAAATAAACACACCCGCCGCAAAAGCGGTCTGGGATCTGGTGTTGCTGTGCTGCAGGTGTTTTGGCGATCTACTGCGGGGCGAAAAGGGAACACTAGAGAAACTGATGACGCCTCCGGCACCACCCTCAGGGTGGATTCCCTCGTGCATGATTCACATGATCCCCCACCTCACCATGTCCTCATCTGTGACCGAGCACTTCGGGCAAACACGGCGGGTTGAACGGGCACTCTTCGGTCGTCTGCCGCGGACATGAGTTACATTTTTGCTTCTGGCAGCTGATGGAGAGAATCCTGGACTTCAGTCTGAAGACAAGGCTGTCTCATTAGTGGAGAAGAAGCTTTGTTCACTGAAGCTTCTCTCTTCCCCCCCGGCTGCGGAGGCAGCATCGTGCAGCTGTGGTGTCAATTTTCGTCGGCTGTAGCAGATGTGAAGCAGCATACGTCCATGGGCAAGCTCTCGCTGCACCTGTCAACTTCGAATGGAACGATTCCTGCACCCAACAGGGTCAACGAATGGAAATTGACGCAAGACACCTGCAGATGCAGATGTAAACGCACCTCTGAATCTTCAGCTCCGAAATACGGACAGCCCATCTCCCAGCAACAGCAGTCGCAAACCCAAACGTGAAACCTCCTCCTCATCATCATCGATGTCGACGAAGTCTTTGGGCCGCACAGGGACGGTTGCAACCTGCCGTGGGACTCACGTCCTGTCGTTGTGTGGGAATGCTCTAACCCAGAATGAAAAAAACTTTCTCGGTTGCAAGTACAACCTAAGAGAGTATCAACCAGCTTCCGACAGGACACCTCCGTCTTCTTCCACAGCGGCCGCAGGGTGCCATCGCCAAATTTTCGAACTTCAACAAACCTCAGACGTCTGGTCGGTTGCAACGTCACGGAGGTCGGGGTTAGCAATCCTTGAATTGAAGGACTTGCACGCTGGCAGTATGTATCATCATTCTCATTCTGGTTTGGATGTCCTTCTTATACGTGCTGTAATTCTTGTGATGGTCAGGGGCACAGCACATTACCAGAAGCCAGGCCATGCGTCAAATGGCACGCGCTTATTTTCGACATGAAATATTCCTGAAGTGCTTTTGTGTGACACTGCTGCTGCGGTTGCTACGACAACCACGACGACGACTATGACCGTCACCCGCCAACACGCCCATGGCACTGCAGGCAAGGCACACTGAATTCAATGGGCCGTTGGGCTAATCTTGGCGAAACCGGCTCAGGTTCTGCCTGCAGCCTGCTGACACATTCATGGCCGAGGCACGGTACTCTTTTCCATATCTTTCGATTGGAGTCGAATCGGATGACAACCATTTGTTGTCTCTCCTGGTCGTGTGGCCACAGGTCGGAAAGACGGAATTACGACTTTCCAGAACGCTCACTTCAGCTGCGGATCGCAACTTGTTCAACAACCCAGTCCTTCAACAGTCCATTGTGCACATTTGGAGCGGCAAAGCTGACGATGCGCTTAACTTCCCGGGACCCAAATTTGCACCCCAAACCTCCGAAGCCCGTAGTTATCTTTACAAGGCTTCTACCCCAGCAGCCCTGATCCCTTCTTCTCGATATCATGTTGAACCCAAGCCGT